TCTTAGAGATTAATAAACTTGAGAATATTTTATGACTACAAAACTTCAAGAAATTACATGAGGAAGACTTTTCCTCCCACTCTGGCCGCATGAGACTGCACAGAAAGAAATACGTTTTACATGGGGGCATGCAGCACACAGCCAAGGAGCTGTGTGGACAACTGCAACTACATGCATTGGGCTCTGGTATTTTGTACTCTATTCTAGTTGTTAAGAAAGAAACATTTTAACCTTGTGCTACTAAATTTATTTCACCACCTTTAATGGTTACTTAGACCTGCAGTCTGAAAACACTGTTTAGTGAGAGCACATGCTTTGAAGTCACACAGATGTGAGCTGGAATCCAGGATGTGCCTCTCACCAGCAGTCTGCTCAGGAGAATTTCTCAACCTGTGTAAGCCCATTCCTCCTGTGTAAAATGGAGTTGCTATCTATAGCACAGATGGTTGTAATGGCTAGTTAAGAATGCAGGTAGCACAAAGTATGGTAGCCAATAAATGGAAAGGTTACGTTTTTTTGGTTTTTTTGTTTGTTTTTTTTTGTGATCGACCCTGAGCTAACATCTATGCCAATCTTCCTCTATTTTGTATGTGGGTTGCTGCCACAGCATGGTTGACAAGTGGTGTGGGTCTATACCTGGGATCTGAACCTGGTAACCTGGGCCACCAAAGGGGAGTGTGCCGAACTTAACCACTAAGCCATGGGACCGGCCCCTGGAAAGGGTAATTTTACTTAAGAATGATAAAATGGTACAAGAAGTAGAGAAGTTGTACTAAGGAATTCTGGTAGTCCACAGGCAGCCAGTCCACTTCACCCTCTGTGGGATGGAAAATAATGAAGCAACCGATATTTTATCGTTACTCTCCTTTCTATTTCTTGAAGCCACTCTAGTGCCCAGTGAGGTGTGAATCCAAGGAGGCAGGATTGGATTGCTGCTTCCCCTGTCTTCCCAACTTCTGGTAGTATCCATCATGGACTTCTTCTCAAAAGTCTCACAGGCAAGTCCAGAAATCCACAGGAACACTCACATGGCAGGAAGCACTCTTGACCTGTTCATCACTTCCAGTGAGAGCGGCAGTGGTTCCCAGACTTGGGAGGGTATTAGGCAAACCTAAGGAAGTTGTGAAATATTCGGATTCTGAGACCCACTGAAGTCATTGGTTCAGAATCATCTGGAGTAAGACGTTGGAATCTATATTTAATACACATGAACCACACACACACACAGTTCTGGTACAGCTGACAGATCAATAGGAAAATGGAGCCTTTTGGTATTACTCTTATTCCAAGTAAATGTTGACTTAATAGTGGCAGACCCTCCATGTCTTCTTTAAGTTTTTCGAATAGTTTCATTTACAGGAGAACCCGCTGTACCATAGGAGGCGAGTGTAGGTGAGTTGAAAGATCACAGAATTTGGAGTGTTTAAGTCCCTCCAAGTTAGAAGTAGCAAGGAACACATAGAATAAAGTAAGGCATTTGAGAGAAAACTTCAATGTGCTATGCAAATTTCAGCTAGTTACGAGAGTGGTTTTGTTTGCTATTGAAAATGAGTATAACCCCACTGTTCTGGGATCAATTGCCCATGAATTCAGTTTCCCTAGTAACCATCAATTGGATGCTTTTGGAACCTTATCCTCTCCCTTTTTATTTTAGTATATACCAAAGGGCATATTTATTTTTCACTAGCATGCTTGAATTACATTGAAAATGTTTACGCATTAAGGCTTAAAATATATTGATAATTTGCATCACTTTTCTACTGGATTCAGCATTAATTTAAATAAGACTATTTTGAAACATTTCTACATGTTGTATCAAAGATTTGTATTCTCTTTTATTTCAGTGGTAGTAAGGTCTGTTGTGTGTGGAGAAGATTAGGGGCAATGGAACTAAAGATTAATGTGATGTCCAACGCTCTGTTACAACACCCACAGAATAGTATCATATCACCTTATAGCACTGGCCAAAATTTTATTTTGTCTCTCAAGTACATGGCTTGCAGTTTTTAAAGACAATTCCATCCAGACCATTTTCCAAGAATAATTCCTTTGGTTGGGTTTTCATTGCCAACAACTACTCTTTGTTGATTGGGCAACCACCTAAATAAACCCACTCATTCAGAGACTCTGCAACGGATGTCTTCAGAGGGCAATGACTTAACTTGGATAGTCCCTCAAAACTCTACTTCTGAGATGGAAAATTGAACTTGTCATTCAATCCTACGTGTAACTTTTCTTTCTTATGGAGCTCTAGGAAGCATAGGGCCATTATCTTTATGATTGAAGCCATATTTGGTGTTTGGACTAGTCATTCATCAGTTATTCAGTAATAACAGGGTCTGGGATTCTCTAGTAATGGGAATAGGTAGGTTATAATCTACACTCCTCATTTATTTCCCCTTATGATCAATGTTTGAATTTCAATTCTAACTAGTGTATTACACTTTGATCCTGAAGCACACGCCAAAGAATTCAGCAAGACTGCAGACAAATTCTTCAAAGTGCATCTCCACTTTCACTGGATTTATGGACATCATCTGTGTGTTATGTGAAAATTAATCCTTGTCCATCTGTGTACCCTTAGTATGGTTTGGACTCCCCTTCCTTACCAAATATCCTGAATTCAAGTTATCTAAACTCATGGAGCAGTTGTCCAGAGGAAGAGCAGCAACAGCCCCGCCCCCAACCCTTGGGAGCAGAAAGGAAAAGAATTATCCCAAGGAATTGTTAAAAATCCCAGATGCAGCGGAAGAAATAAGCCATGGGTGCATAGAGTGATGTCTCAGGGGTCCAAAATTTAACCCAAAATGGGCAATAATTTGTTTTGCATTAAACTAAACCAGTTTGATGAACTCAAATGCCCTCGGCTCAATAGGCAGGACTCTCCGAGGAGCCTGTGTTACTTCCCTCACTTAAGCGCAGATTTGTAATAAAAATCTTAATGCTAGTAGCATGGTTTTTGGACACATAAGAAGCTAACCACTTGGAGAATCATATTTGAGAGGTCAGAAAACTCCACACTTAAAGATCGGTTTATAATTTACGAAGAAAATAGAAAGTTTTGTTTCTCTGAGTTGAAATTTGACGAGCACGGCGGGAAATATTGCTGGTTTTTGGCAGAAGGTTTTATGCTTTCTTCATAATTTGAGACCTGCGTGAAGGCTGAGGCTTCGGGGATCATCTTTTGAGAAAAATCAGGCAATTCGGTGTAGAGAATTTTGATATTTTTGGCATTTTTTGAGGTGTAACAAACACAACTCGGGATCCGAGAGGACACTCTGCGGCTGCCAGCAAGGCGGGCTGGACAGCGCACCAATCACGGCGCAGCTCCGCCCTATATAAACGGGCGGGCGCAGCGGCGCTGCCCGAGTCCCGGCCAGTGCCTCTGTTTCCGGCTCGAGTTGCTCTTCCCAAGCCCGCCTTCAATATGTCCGAGACTGCGCCCGCCGCGCCCGCCGCTCCGGCTCCTGCCGAGAAAACACCAGTGAAGAAGAAGGCCCGCAAGGCCGCGGGTGCCGCGAAGCGCAAGGCATCTGGGCCCCCGGTGTCCGAGCTCATTACCAAGGCTGTCGCCGCTTCCAAGGAGCGTAGCGGCGTGTCCTTGGCTGCGCTGAAGAAAGCTTTGGCGGCCGCTGGCTACGACGTGGAAAAGAACAACAGCCGCATCAAGTTGGGTCTCAAGAGCCTGGTGAGCAAGGGCACACTAGTGCAGACCAAGGGTACTGGTGCCTCAGGCTCTTTTAAGCTCAACAAGAAGGCTGCCTCTGGGGAAGCCAAACCCAAAGCGAAGAAGGCGGGTGCGGCCAAACCCAAGAAGCCTGCGGGAGCGGCTAAGAAGCCCAAGAAAGCCACGGGGGCGGCCACCCCGAAGAAGAGCGCCAAGAAGACCCCAAAGAAAGCGAAGAAGCCTGCTGCGGCTGCGGGAGCCAAAAAGGCAAAGAGCCCGAAAAAAGCGAAAGCAGCCAAGCCCAAGAAGGCGCCCAAGAGCCCAGCGAAGGCCAAAGCGGTGAAACCCAAGGCGGCTAAACCAAAGACCGCCAAACCCAAGGCAGCCAAGCCAAAGAAGGCGGCAGCCAAGAAGAAATAAAGTCTTTTGGCCAACTACTTAGAAGCTCAACACAACCCAAAGGCTCTTTTCAGAGCCACCCATAGATCTCATCAAAAGAGCTGTTGCACATTCTAAGGGGGCGTGGCTGGGAGGCCCCAAGTGAGAGGCGGGCCTCCGGGGATGGGAGGTGGGTTGTCAGTCATGGCTCCAGCTGAAACGGGTCTGGGCTTTTGGGAACTGTTACCAGACAGGTTAGAAGAACCTGGAACGCGGCTTGCGCGTCGGCCTACTTGCCTATCCTGTTTTTAGAGTGTTGAGAGAATGTTGGGCAATTAGTGTGCACTAGGTTGGGAAGTAAATTTGCCCACAGTAGGACGCGATGCAGGAGAGCACGAATTTGGGGGCAGAAGTGACTTAGAATGTTACGCGTATGTTCTGTAAGTGTATGGAGGTCGCTAACGTATTACCGAAATTGACGAGGTGTGTACTCAGTATTTATTTCCTCACTGCAGGAAAGATTTGCTATTTACTGGACCACTTGCATTCACAACAAACCGAAAGACAAAATTTGGCAGATTAGGGGAAACTGTTTCCAAGTATTTCAACGATAACGGTCTGGTGGTAAAAATTCCCAGAATTTTTGGTAGAGAAGAGAGATCGCAATGTGAATTAAAAAGGCTCACGCAGCTCAGCATACTGCTGAGCTTCCGGTGGTTGGGATTTGGTTAGCTGCGGTGGGGATAATACGCTACCACAACGCTGGGCCAACGCTAGTCATGTAGGACATCAGCATGGCCACTAGGTGTCCACTGCTGCGGGCCCAGGCCCCATGCATGAAGTTGTCCTAGCGAGCACGAAGTTGCCTTCACCCACAAAGCTAAAACCAACCTCTTCTCAATAAAACTTTCGTCTGTTCTCTGAAATACACAGAGCAGTTGCTTGAAGAGGCTGTTTATAGTAGCTTTGGGTAGCCTAGTCTAGGCCTTCCGATTGGGTCAAAGCAAAGTAAAGAAATAGCCAATGAAAAGGTAGATCTGCGACTATCATTTACATTCGCAATCGTGACGACACAGTAAAATTAATCCAATCATGAGCGAAATTTTACTAACCTTATTTGAATACCGCATCTATAAATAAATGTGGCCTCGCTGGGGGTGATTATTTTCCCAGGTGTTAGCGATAGTGTTGTAACTTTTAACGCTACAATGCCTGAACCTACTAAGTCGGCTCCAGCCCCGAAGAAGGGCTCCAAGAAAGCGGTGACCAAGGCGCAGAAGAAGGACGGCAAGAAGCGCAAGCGCAGCCGCAAGGAGAGCTACTCGGTCTACGTGTACAAGGTGCTGAAGCAGGTCCACCCCGACACCGGCATCTCGTCCAAGGCCATGGGCATCATGAACTCGTTCGTCAACGACATCTTCGAGCGCATCGCGGGCGAGGCGTCGCGCCTGGCGCATTACAACAAGCGCTCGACCATCACCTCCAGGGAGATCCAGACGGCCGTGCGCCTGCTGCTGCCCGGGGAGCTGGCCAAGCACGCTGTGTCGGAGGGCACCAAGGCCGTCACCAAGTACACCAGCTCCAAGTAAACTTGCCAAGTAAGCGTCTTTACACCTAACCCCAAAGGCTCTTTTAAGAGCCACGCATGCTTTCAACAAATGAGTTGTAATTCTTTTATTCTAAAGGCTATTCTGAGGTTTCTCATACCAAATTTAAAGGTATGCTATCATTCTTTAATACTCTGTTACACCTGTGTAGGAAATACTTCTGCGTAGACAACAACAAAATAAATTGCGCGCTCATTATGGGCAAGTACAGTTTCATAAAAGCGTTAATCATTTACTATCACGTAACTAGATAGGAAATTTGAACTGAAAATGCCATTTCAAGTGTACAGCTTTCGTTTCCGTGTTTAGGTCTCCAAGTTGATCCTGATGTTGCTCCGGGACTTGGCGATGACCGCTCACCCAGAGCACATAAGCGCATGCTCTGACAACTTTGTTCTGCTCAGTTTCTTTTCTTTTCATTTTTTGTTTTCTTTCTTACCGTATACATATGTATTACTGAAAAGAGGCTGAAGACAATGTGAGTTTTCACGGAAATATTACCGAGGTCTTTTGGTTTGCTTGCTTTGCAATTGGTCTAATTTTTGCTTAAGGCTTTGAACGGCGAGTGGGGGAGGTAGAGGAGCAGCCTATACTGTGCCCAGCAGGCACCGAGGGAGAGGAAAGGGAAGCAGCTTTTTGAGACACCTTCAAATTTTGTCAGTTACTACACCTTTTCCCCAGACAGTCCTATTTAATTTACAGTCTTTCTCCAGCGTTCAGCTGTAAAGGTCTCTGGGTCACAAGAGAGAAACCTAATACTCAGTCGGTTAAGGTGTCTGACTAGATAGACCAATAGTTATCTCGGCACTGAGGGCCCCTTTTCAGTACCCTATACCCTTTCCCAGATGCCCCCGAATGTCAAGGATGGAGAGGAGGTAGAAAGGGAAGGAAAGCCCCTTCGAGCAGGATGTGGCTTCTGCTGCACAAGGTAGGATGGCTTTAAGGGTTTTCGGGGTATGGATTATTGTGGGGAAAATAAATCTCGGGGAAAAAAAAGCTGGGAGCTGGGAAGGAGTTGGCCAGGAGGAAAGGAATCCACGGTTAAGAGTTCGCCAAGAAAATTGCAAGGTGGATGAGGCTGGGCTGGGAATGAAGTGTGGCTTAGATGGAGAATTTAGGTGGAGGGTGTTGGGTGAGGGAGGAATGAATTTAGAAATTCTCACGTCCATGATTTCCCAAACAAACATGGATTCATAGATTATGGGGATAGATTTTCCATAATGTGGCAAGCTGACTACCTGGATGGACAATTAAGATCCAGAATAGTATTTTTTAAAGTTTTAAAAGCAAGGGAGCCATTAAGAAAGTAAGCAACTCTCAGGCCCAGGGCCTTGGCCCATGTGAAACCCCAGGAACCACAGCTGGCTCTCACTCAGACCTGAGCTTTGCATTTTAGGGTGTTTGATTTTTAGGGTATGTGAAGCCTGTCCATGGTAGGGAGCCTGAGAAGAAATTTTTCCTTGTGAAGCTGAGACACCAGGCAAAAAGCTCTATCTTCAGAGTAAAAGAATGAACTAGAAATAGACAGACATACACACACACGCTCATCACAGATGATTGCAAAGAGTCTGCCCTGAACTTCTGCTGAGCAGGGTAGATTCCGATACTGAGAATTTGTACCGCAGGCCAGCCTTCACACTTACTTGGGTCTGACATTAGTACCACAGAGATTCAAACACCCAGGCTGAGAATCTAATTTAGGGATATCCCAAGCTGATTTTGTGCCCCTGAGCACCTGGTGAAAGCAAATACAAATCCTGTCTGGAGGCATAAGCTTCATTTTAGGTCTCAAGAAATCCCCACTGATGAAATGTGAAAGAAAATTAATGAGCAATTCACAGCCAAACTTAACCAAACATACTGTGAAACAAGACGTTATGACCAAGAATAACAAAAGTAACAGAAAACAGAAACAAAAGGACTAAAAAGAGGCAATTAGCAGATACAGACTTCAAGTGGCTAACTTTTAATATCTTAAAAAATATATATATTTGAAATATCTTGTGGGGCTAAGAATCTAAAGAAGGACCACACAGACTTGATAAAAGAGCCAAATAGAAATTCTAGAAAAACATGTGTGTGTATATACAATTAATTATAACAATTAAATTTAAAAGCTTCCTGGATGGCTTTACTAGCCAATTGGGCCAAGCTGAACAATTTTAATGAATGACATGCCTAGATCTTAAGGAATTATCCAAAATGCAGATAGAAGATGTACAAGTGAGTTTAAGAGATCCAGAACTAGTAGTAAAATCGTCGATCTGACATACCTCTGATGGTAGGACCCAAAGGACAACCAGAGAGAATGATGCAGAATTGAGATTTAAAAGATCATGGCTGAGAACGTTTTAGAATTGATGGATTACTCAAGTAATTAAAAATAAATTCAATAGAATGAAAAATGATGCAACAAAAACGGGGGTTGCCGGGTGACACTGAACCAAGCCCTATAAAGTCTTAGAAAAATTAGATGCTGATTTTCATAAGGTCATGCCTTCTAATCTGTATTGACAGATGGCATCAGACTGAAGCACTGTTTGAAATTCTGTGGAGGAGGAGGCGAATTGAGTAACTCATTATTTACATGCATTTTGTATCTAGCTAACTGCCAGATTCTGTTAACTCTAATCAATATTTAATGGCTGTCTTGATTTTCATTGCATGTAATACTATAATTAGCAAATAAAAATGTTGGACATTCCTTCCAATAACTATTTCTTTTAATTGCTTTTATCATGTTACTGTGTTAAAATCACAAACTGCCATGTTAGACATGCTAGCAGGCATCACCATCTTTTTCCTCCTTTTCCTGGACATGGCTTTGTAGTTCGTGATTGATAAATAATACTTGCTTGTGTGTGTGCGTATGGGGATTAGTTTTTATTGTGTTGATATAGTTTCCTTCTAATTCTCTTTTAAGAGTTTTTATTAGGAATGATTTCTGAATTTGTGGCAGCTGATGAAATCATGTGCTTTTTCTCCTTTAACCTGTTCCGTGAAGCACAGGGAGATTTCCTAATGTTGCGCCATACTTGCATTCCTAGGCCAAATCTTATTTGATCAGGTTGTATTATTATTGTAAATAATGGATGGCTAAATTTAAACATTATACCTGGATTTTTTTCCATCTCTATTCATACATAAAATAATTCCATGATTTTCCCCCTTTGGGTTTACCTTTATCAGATTTTGCCATTAAGATTGCAATAGCTTCAAAAACGTAATTGTGGGCCTCTCCTTTATTAATCATCTATTTCTGTATAACAAATTATCCCCAAACTAGGCAGCTTAAATCAGTGAACATTTATTATTTCATTTACTATCTGTGGGTGGAATTCACAAGTGACTTAGCTAGATAGTTATGGCTCAAGATCTCTCATAGGACTGAAGTCAAGATGTAAGCATAGGCTGTAGTCATTTGAAGGCTTGACTATAGCAGGAGGATTCTCTTCCAAGATGGCTCGCCTGCATGCCAGACAAGCTCCTGTTAGCTGTTGGCAGGAAGACCTCAGTTCATTGCCACATAGACCTCCCTGCAGGGCTAATTGACTGTCTTCAAAACATGGTAGCCGTTACTCTCTAGAAAGGGAAATTAGAGAAAGAGTGGGAGGAATAAGCCACAATGCCTTTCATGACCTAGTTTTGAACGTCACACACTGACACTTCTGCCACTTTCTATTCATTAGAAGCAAATCATTTAAATCTGGCATATTTCAGAAGGGAAATTAGGTTCCACCTTTTGAGGGAGAGAAAATAAAAGAATTGGTGGACATATTTTAAAGCCACCACATCATCTTTTTTATGCTTTAAACACTTGAATGTAAAAAGTATTTGTGTTTTACTGATTAGATAGCAATCAGCTACAAAATCACCTGAGCCTAGCACCTTTATAACTGGTTGATTTTTTAAGAATTCCAGTAACTTAGACTACAGTTGACCACTATCCACAGAGACAAAGGCCCATGAAACTCCCACGTGATGTGCTGATGGACTTTTCCCTGAGGTTGTAAAGGTCAAAATGGTGGCCTCTGCGTTTAAATAAAATATTAGGTCAGCACACAGTAGGTACTTAAAAAAAAAGTATTGAATGAATTTAATTAACTTATCTAAGAAATCCTAAACTTCAATCAGTGAAGCAAATCTCTGGTGCAAGATCATTGTTGGAATGTTCAACAAACTAATACGGTTGGCCTTTTGGAAGAAGAAATCAAAGGGGGAAATAAATACAATAAAATTTAAAATATCAGAAAATACTGTGGCATATGAAAATATAAGAAAATAACAATATGGAAACAACCAAATTAATGAAATTTAAAATTGACAAGAAGTTAAAGCTAATTTAATAATTAAAATATAGACGTTAAGATTGATGATTGAGTAATACTAAAAAAAGGCAATGTTTAAAGTATAAGGTAGCAGATTAAGAGTTAGCAGAAGAAGGTAAAAGGAGAAGAAACTAAAGAGAAGAATTTAGTTAGGAAGGCTTATAAGGAGATTCTGGACGTGTGTCAAAATGCCCTAGTAAATTGTACTAAGGCTATAGTTCAGAGTATTTATTTATAAATCACTTCATTTAAGAGATGATCATTGAATGTCTCTGGGCTAGTCACTGTGATGACATTGGAGACGCAGAGAGAAATAAGATTGTGCTTTACCTCCTGGAGCCCTCAGTTTTGTAGACTAGAGGAAGCTTATAGCTAATTGCTTTCCTTTTCTTTTATCTTTCACTAAGGCCTAAAAAAGTGTTTATCACTCTTTGGAAATCTGCAAGCAGGTGAATAGATTTGGCTCATATGGGAACTACCATATTCATTAAATTAAGGCAAAAATATTCATCTCAATTTTTGAGTAATAAACAAAACACAGTAATATTAATAGTGTGACACAGTGTGGAACAGTCCACAGGACTCTCCTCACATCTGACAACCACAGAGTTCAGAGATCTCCAAAAGCACCCATAGATTTGATAATTAGCTAGAAGGGCTCACAGAACTCACTAAAAGCTACTATACACAAGGTTATTAGATGCTGTGCTCAAGGGTTTATTACGGCAAAAGGACACAGATGAAAATCAGCCAAGGGAAGAGAAACATGGAGCAGACCCCAGGAGGGTTCCAAACTGGAGCTTCTAGTACTCCTTTCCCAGTGGAGTCATGGAGAGTGTTAGCACCTACTTGCAACAATGTGTCACAACACCGTACATACTGCCAATTAGAGAAATTCACACAAGCCATGGTGTCCAGACTTTTATTGAGGCTTTATCATATAGACATGATGGTCTTCTCGAGTGGTTGATCTTTAGTCTCCACACCCTCTGGATGTAGCACAGATACCGTGTGACCCGAAGCCCCCAACATAATTGATGGTATTAGTCTATCCAGTGTAGCCCAAGGCCCCCTGGTAAACAAAGATATTGTTATCATGCAGGATATTCCAAGAGCCTAGAGATCACCTCCTAGCAAAGGGCAAAGTCCACACCTCTCTTTGGATGGGGTTAATACTTTACTACACACGTAGTTAGAAGAGAAACTATTATTTTTACAGTTTTGAATTAAATATCTATCCTTGACCATAAGTTGAGTTCCACAGCTATTTGCTTTTTATGATTGTTTGGTCAAGTGGTTTGGATATTTAGATTGACTACGGACCCAGAAATTATAAGGAGATTTCTTAATGAAGACTTTTTTCTACTTTATTCCGAAGAACAGTGTCAGCAGCCTTCTCCTGCACTTACAGCCTCAACTGCCCTGTAAACTGTGGCTGCAGGAAAAGAAGACAGGAGAGACAGAGATCAACTTTGGGGGAAGTTCGGAGTTCTTGAACTTCATTTTGGTAGCATGGGCATTCAGTCCTAAATAGAAAAAAAAAAAGCTTCCTTTTCTTTGTATGAACAGCAGCACTTGAGTGGCTTTTCCTTCCGTAAGCTATGACATTTGCTACTGTGGGCAGGGGCCAGGACTTGGAGAAATGTAAAGGAGTTATGCTTTAGAATTTTGTTTAAAAGTTTAACAGTGAATGTTAAGCTGTATTTCATAAATACAAAATGATATAAATATGACAGCCAAATTATGGCTATTTTTTTAGGGAAGAAGGAGGAGGAGCATGGGGAGAAGAAAAAAGGTGAGAGAAATTGAGCAGGACTCAGAAAAGGAACGGAAGAAGCAGATTGCTACTACAAAAGGGAGGGAAAGAGCCTAGAGACCAAAGAGAAGCCCACAGCCAACTGTGGTAGGAAAAAAGCAGAAAGAAAAAGAGGGGGGTGGATAGATAGACCGTGTCCTGTATTGAGCATTTGAGCTAGCTATAATACTTGTAAGATAACTGAAATATTCCCCACATTTCTTTGGTTTGGGGTCGAGTGGATTAATTAAAATGCCACCATATCTGAGAGACTTTCTCTGAGCAGCAGATGGCACCTTTCTGTTTCATTTTTAACTTGCTCTGTTCATTCTTCTTCATTATACTTAGCACTAACTGATATAAATTTGTTTATTGTTTGTTTCCTCTCTCCATCCTCAAGACTGTAAGCTCCACCTGGGTAGGGTTAATCTTTTTTGCTACTGACTCTCTAATGCCTAAGGCTGTTCCAGACACACAGCAGGCTCTCAATAAACATTTGCCGCATGACATAATTAAAGTGCACATATGTCTGTAACGACAGGAATAGAGGCCAGAGTTGTCAAAAAAATTCAATTAAATGAGTGACTCAGCCTTTCTGGGTCTCACTTTCTTCATCTATACAAGAAGAAGAATAATAGTACACTACTTAGAGTTATTTTAAGGATTACATGAGATAATTCATGTAAAGCTCTTAATACGGTTATGAACATTTAGTAAGTACTTAGCAATTGTGGGCAATTACTATATTTTCTTTAGTCACTGAATTAAAATGAAAATCAGAGTGGCTAATTCTCTCTGGTCAAAAACTAAAGGGAGAGAATATGAGCTTTTGAACTATTTGAATCTCATCTCAAGAAAGGTAGCTGGGGGGCCGGGCCGGTGGCCCAGTGGTTAAGTGCGCACGGTCCGCTTCAGCGGCCCGGGGTTCACTGGTTCGGCTCCGGGGTACAGATATGAAACCACTTGTCAAGCCATGCCGTGGTAGTCATCCCACATATAAAGTGGAGGAAGATGGGCACGGATGTTAGCTCAGGGCCAGTTTTCCTCAGCAAAAAGAGGAGGATTGGCAGCAATTGTTAGCTCAGGGCTGATCGTCCTCGAAAAATAAAAAAAAAGAAAGGTAGCTGGGGAATTTGGAACAAAGATCATATTATTCAGGAATATTTCTTGACTAAGCATGATTTGACTCATTAGCTATTAATTCTAATAATGACTAAAGTGTAAGTAATACTGGAACAGAGACTCCTCATTGCATGTTATACGAGCACATGTACACAGAACCCTCTTGGTATAGCAGATATTAATGCTGATGGCAAAATAGCACCTAACAAATAAACCCTTTTTATTTCTTCAATCAGGTGAGAGATATCAGTGCAGAGAAGAAATGAATGCAACAGTAACTGAAAATGTGAATGTGCCCATTGAAGTTTTGAAGTATGAAGTCTGATCTGCTGGAGAATGATTGATTAGTGTGTATATCCCACCCAAATCCAACCCATCTTGGTTTGCTGCACATTGATTCCGCAAAAGGAGATCATTACCTGAGTGGGAGAGCCTAAACAAGGTGTTTTAGCTTTTTCATTTTATTTTTTGTTTGAATTATAAAAATAGAATTTACTTCTGTTACAGGCCTAGTTACTGGGAATTCATTATTTACCACAGATTATATTTGCTGAGAGAAGTCAGAACGAGAGAATAGCAAAACATTTGTAAATGAAATGTTATGATTAATAAAATCTGTGAATAATTGGAATTCTGCACTGGTCATTGATTGAAATCCTTCTCCTAAGATCTCCCCTTTACAGACATACAATTTACTTATTTTTCACTTTATTTTCTGGCATCAAGGTCTGAGTGGGTAAGGCCTAAGCACCATTTTGGCTTTGGTAACGATCTTGAAGGTGAACAACTTAGTTTAGTTAAGCTGACATTTGAGAAGTCACTTTCAACATCCGATTTAAGGGAAACACAATACTTTGCAGCATTCTTAAACTTGTGTGCACCAAAACTACCCGAAGGTTTTTAAAATCGTAGATTGCTGGGCCCCTGTCACAGTTTCTGATTCACTGGATCTGGAGTAGGATTCAATAATTTGCATT